GGACCTGTTGCTCCGATTAACATTTCATTCATCCGAATCCAAATCCCACGACTCCATATCCAATAACATAAGCTTACGCAAAAGGCCTTCAACAGTTTCGCGTAATTATGCAAATCCAGTGTGTGTTTCCCTATCGAATCAACTTAAACTTAACTAAACGCTACAAATTAGCCGGCTTTCCAACTCAATCTACCTCCGATCTCTGGCCTTATAATCTGACAAATAATTTTCATAAATTTAAATACATACTTTGCCACCTGCTTGTTAGGGTCTCCGCGTTTCCCAACGCACATTTCGGAGCAATTAAAAATCGATTTACATGTGTGTGTGGATCAAATGCTGATTTCTTTGGCTCACACTCGAATTTGGGTGAAAATTAATGACTTCCAGTGAAAGTCTGGGGTTTTGTATAACAAACAGTCGGAAAGGTAAAGTGTAAACCAATAGCCAAAGTCCAGGGGGACCCAGAGGGCGACTGGGCGACTCCCCAAGATCGCGGCTTCTCTGAGAGAAAAGTTCAACGCCCCGCGACATTTGAAAACGAAAGCGAAGAGTTTCTGTTTGTTGTCTTATTATTACGTTATGTTATGTGTTTTTTTTTCTCTTTTTAAAATATGCAAAATATCTTTCCATGCGTCGTCTACGCAGAATTTTTATTTTCTTATGAAATTACAGACGCCACGAAATGGGAGGCAAAACTAAAAACACTTTTTATGCCTGCGGCTCGGCTGCTTTCAAAAATTGTTTTTCGTTTTCATGGTCTGTAAAAGTTGGGCGCTGGGCAGGGGAAAAGTTTGCTGAATTTATGGAAATAAGAAATTTTTGAAAACATGTTTTCGTTAAGTGAGAAAATGGCGTGAAAATTGAGAGATTCGTAGACATTTTTTGGGAATAATAAATATTATTCCAACATTAGCTCAAGCGTAAAAGCCTCTTTGGAATATCAAATCTAGAAAGAACCTTCTGTAATTTATAACCAAATCAGCCTAACAAATTCTCACATTTTTGGGCTTCTTCCCTGACGTGAAAAATGTACAAAATATGCATAATTAGAAATGCGAGAAAAGCTGGAAAGCGATGTTAGCTAAGCGTACTTCCTGGTTCAATATGATACCCGTCAGATACGATACACCTTTCTGGGATAGCCTCACGCGAGGCACACTCGAAACAATGGGAATGTAGCAACATCAACAATATCACGCACTAGTCATTAGCTCGTCGGGATAAACAAACATACTTGCAGCCAAGAAATGCAACACGTGCTGTGCATAAATAATAATAATAAAAGAGTTGGGGGTTGAGAGAAGTTTTTCCAGCTGAGTTGGTCAGTTCTAATGGCCTGGCTATTGACCCCGCGCTTCTGGCCAGAGAAATTAGTATAGATTATGCACGCTTGAAAGCCAGCCGAACCGCAGAGAGACAGAGACATTCGTTTGTTCGGGGCCATCCCGAATGAATTAGAAGTGGAGCCCAGAAACCACTTGTTTCTGTCAGCCTCAAGACTTCAACTTCTCGCAGAAATTTCTTAATTTCTGTTTGCGGCTTTTTTGCTTTTTTGGTTTTTTTCTTGGTTTTTGGTTTTGCATAATGTGTGTGATAAGCTTGGGGGATTTGCCGCTCTGACACAGATATTTCAACTTCTTTTGATGGCGATGGAGATACTTTCGCAAGCGGATGTGGCAGATACTTAAAACGGCATTCAAACTACAACTACACATGGCTGAGTTTATAAATACTTTCCACAGCAAATCCCTTGCTAAGTACATTGCTTTGAAGTCCCCCACAAGCCGAGCAAAAATATCAAATTGAAGTCATTAAAGATGTAATTAAAATTCGTGTTTCAGTTCATTAACTTCTCGCTGCACAGCTGCGAATTAGCGAAACCGATTTAAATACATTTTTATTACTGCAGCATTTGGGAGCGAATCCAAGGTTATCCGAGTTTACTCAGGTAGTTCTCTGCCCCCTCAGTTCCAAGGGGGAGGAGTATAGTGACCCATATTGAGGCGTCTGATCTTACCTAAGTGTATATATATAGCAAATGTCCGTCTATAATTAGATGGAACTCACTTCACCCACTTTCGAGTGCACTTTAGTTTCGCCGCTGTCTAGATCTTCCGCATAGTTCGTGGTTTCTGTTCGCTTTTCCAAGCTGCCTAAACACTTTTCCTACCTTTTGTCCACAGATAATTGCATTAGCCATCGCTTCTATACGGGCCGAGTGAATCATTTGGACATGTTTATGTGACACAAGTGGAACATCTTCGATCAGTATTATAGGAGAGGCTATTTTGGGGGAACATTCATAACCAGAAGTTGGTCACCCTGCTTCCTTCCCCTCAGATCGAAATGAATGGGCTTGTTAATCGGCTGACAGAACAAGAGACAAAACTTGACATAGACTGAATTTTCTATATTATTAAAAGAAAACGCTGCCTACTACTACTTTCTGAGTGCATGAATGCTATGTTTCTCCCCCCATTTGGAGGATGAATGTACGAACCGCCTTCACCTGAAGAGTTTTCCCTGCCCACTTAATTGAATTGTGTATTTTCGGCCTTAATTAAAAGCCCCGAAGGCGGGGGTAAAAGTTCATTGACTGCCCGTGGTCGTAATACACTTTTAATGATCATGATTTTGGGGAAGCTAGAAAAATCAATTTAGTTTATTTACTTAATTGAGATTTAGCCTAGGGCCTAAGGGACTAAACTGAAGGGATTTCTTATAGAGCAACACCGCCTCTCTCAGTCCCAGCCATGTAAAATACACTCTTGGGAATTCTTCACCCCATTCGCAGGTTCGTTCTCTTAAGTTCTGTAGCTGCTCTTGCGTCCATTTGAGGAGCTTCTTTTGGGAGCTTTTTTCAGACGCCTTCGAATCGATCTTCACGGAAAGTTTTTCCTTAGCCATAATCAGTCTAGAAAGCGCGCGTGCTCGTGACGGATCGGTTTGGATCGGATCGGAACGGATTGGACCTCTATATTCGTAGACCTCGAAGACTATATCGCGCGAATTTTGTATTTTCCTCCCAGTTTGTACTTTTTTTTGATGCCTGTTTTATTTTTAAGTTTTCTCAAATATTTCTCGTTTTGCCCGTCTCTTTTTTTGGGAATTCGGATTTGCCATTTGAGTTTTGGGAATCTTGTTCGGATTCGCAGCTGGAGTTGCGTTCGCCTATTAATAGTTTCCACCCAGAGAAACAATCGCACGTTTGATATGTGTTCCTATTGTTGTTTTTTGTTCGGCTTACGCCATTGCGTATGAGTGATTTGTGTTGTTGGCCATCTTACTCGGCCGCATATGATTTTTTACTGGCACATTGCCCGACATTACGCAGCTGTTTAGGCGACCGTAAATTCTCTGTTCAAAATTCTCATGTAATTTACATAAATATAGAGTCTAAATCAGAAATAATAATGAGTCTCTAAATTGCTGATTGTGAATCACGAAAGAGATGTGCTTCGGGGAAGTCTTGCATAAATTTCCATCCGTTAGTCAAAGATGACAGGCGAGGGAACTGCGACCGCAAGATGGGACATGTGTTCTGTGAAGTTTTTGAAATTCTGTTGAAAAGTTCTTAAAATTTTTACGAGACTTTGAATTGTTATGGAAGACAAATGTAGAAGCTTTTTTAGGTGATCTTAAGAGATCTGTTGTTATGCGGTTGATCAATTTTTATAGATTTCAAGCGTTCTTTCTATAAACTATAAACACCAGATGGAGGGGCTTATGAGAGTGCTAATAAGGCAATATTTTCCATGACAATTTGAAGGGATCCTCGTCTTTGTTTCTATATAACAACCATATCGAATATCATTCGACACCAGCATAATCTCATTGGGCTTATGCTTCCCCTCGTTCTCATTGTTTACCACTCTCGGAAGGGAAGCAAGTGTAACCCTTTGGTGTCTTCTTCTGGCCGAGATCATTTGCCGTCATCCTTAGCTATTTCGAATGGCGTCAGCAACGGAAATGATGCGTCCAGATCCCACACACCGCCTGTTGCCCCAAAATCAGACCAATTGCAGAGCTTTCTGTATAAACAAATATCATATATGGGCCCTCCCCCTCGAATTTCACACGCAATTTGGTTTATTTTCGTTTAATATCCTCGAAGAAAAGAAGAAACAAATTGGAAACCGGAATGGAAATTGTACGGAGAGGGCTGTTAAATAAATTAAATTAATTAGTTTCATCATTTGTTTGCGCGGCCTTTCAATTGGCAAATGGCAAATGGGGTTCTTCGATAAGATTAAATAGTTTCTTCGTTTTGTAAAGAAAAAGCTTTGATGGATCATGAAAGAATTGCCTGAATTGGTTCCACGAACTCAACAATACATTATGCATTATGTATAAGCAAAGATAAGGGCATTATCTAGATAGCTTTTTCAAAGCCGGCTTACTAACTACTCTGCTAAATGTCTAATTTGTAATGATAATAAGAGGCTTCCGTTCTGGATTCACTAAAAAGTACAGACAAGTACAGCGTGGGAGCTGTATGCAAATGGGTTTCTTTTGGAAAATGAATAGAAAAAGAAAAACTTGACAAGTTGGAAAGGGTTTACCTTAGATGTAAACCTTAAATCTGGGAGTTTAGTCTTAAATCTTGCAATATTTTCTATACTTTTGTTAGACACTTCTGTTCAGCATTAGTTAGCTTAATTTACGCATAATTTTTAAGAGAGAGAGAGAGAGACCAACGACCCTGAATTAGATGAAGTTATATCTCGAGTTGTCATGTAAATGCAAACGACGTGAGGTCGTAAAAAGCAGCAAAACCTTTTAGATAGCCGCGAAGATCGTTAAAGGCTGACTGACTGGGCTTGCTTATCTAGAGGTCTGTGGGCCAAGTTAACACAAGTTGGCACTACGTAATCTTATCAGCCTCTCGGTTCCGCGAGTTGCGGGCAAATAAACCATAAATTTATCTTGATTTCCATTGAACAAAAAACAAAAAGCAAACCAAACTAAACTCTCTATTTCTCTCGATTTGTTTACAGACTGTTCAAACCACTTGGCGGCCTCAGTTGCCGCTGCCCCGGGAGCTTCAGCTGACCAATGACCGGAACAGCGCCGACGACCACGATTCGAAGGTGATCACGACCACCACTACCACAGCGGACATCCATCATCACAATCAGGAGGACGAGGAGGAGGAGGATATGGATAGGCTAAGGGGCAATCACAGCATAGGAGGATCCTCGCAACAACTTTCCGGCAAACAGAAATGGTCTTTCGGCAGGCTCTTCCGCAAGAAGAAGGAGGCTGAAAGTGCCTCCTCCAGCGAGGAGGATCGCAAAGCTGGTTTTGTGCCCGCCCAGCGTCAGTCGGCCAGCAAGCCAAAGGGTAAACATGGCAAAGGATCGCGAGGTAGCAGCAAGTTCGATCACATCGTGGTGAGTCCGCGGCAAGAGCAGCCTCCACCACATCCTCCGCAACCGCAGCTCGACAACGAGTTCTTCCTGCCCTTGGAGACCATTCAACCGGAACCCTACTACCAAAATCAACCTGGCTATTACCAGCGCTCCAGCAACTCCCTGGACAGGAGATTACTCCTGCAGCAACCTCCTGGTGCTCAGGGAAATGGTTACCAGCAGCATAAATCCCGCTCGGCGCAACGAGGCCCAAAGCCACCAGGAGCTCACTCCAGCGAAGAGGAACTGATCTCGTTGAACTCCTCCACGTTTTCCAAGTACCGCAGCGACGAGAGCATCCATTTAGGTTCCGCGGCTGGGCAAAGTCGACGCAGTCGAGCAGCTCGCAATGAGAGGTACTACAAGAGATTGTCCCGAGATGGCGAGCCAAGTCATGGCGGAGTACCAGTTGTTAACCAGCAGCAGCGGTACAAAACCCAGCCACTGCCTTTGTCCATCTACCAACCAACGAATGCCTCCAGTGGCTATGTGCAGTGGCAACCGCAGCCACAGAAGAACCTTCAGAATGCGATGCAGAGCGATGGAAAGCGAAGCATCAGCTACGACAGTCACATCCATCTGCAGAATATGAATGGGAGGATGCAGAGTAAGCCATTGCCACCACCACCGCCACCCAGGGATCCTCTGAGGAGGGTGCATGTCGGTGGCTCCGGGCAGATTGGTTCCAGTTCGGGAGACCTGCGACCCGTGTCCTACGCCTTCGACCACAACAGTCGTTGCGCCTCTGATGATCGTATTTGGCAGCCACCTCACTACCAGTCGGTGCACTCGCTCAACTCCCAGCCCAGCTCCTCGATAGTCAGTGCTCCTGTGAGTCAGCAGCAGCCGCATCACAGGAGATTCATAACGCGCTCTGAGAGGAATGCGAATCCTGGCAAGCAATCCCTGCCCAATGGCATTGATTTCCACTATGTGGCAGATGCAACACCACGCTCCAGGAAGCCCATACACATGATGGAACCAGGCAGGGTGGACAATACGGGAGTTCCAGCATCCAGTGGAATATTGCGAACCTCTAAGAGTGGTCTTCCAACGCCGAATCCCGCTCCCCAGCAGCCTTTGACCAAACCGCGATCTTTCTCCAGCTCGCGACTGAGTGAACTGAGGACTTACCCCATGCCCATGTACTCCGAGGTGCAGAAACCAAAAAGGAATCCGCCACCGACTAATCCTTCGCCCAATCAGGATAACATTGTTTGCGGAAGTCTCCACATTAAACCCACCCAAGAACGGGGTAACCAAAACTTTGTAGAGATCCGCCACCGGGATGTTCAGAAGACCAACTCGATGCCGCATCATTATCAGAACAGGCGATCTGGCGAGGATTTGCCCAACAAGTACGAGGAGTATGTGGCAGAGAAGAGGGAGCAGCATCAACAAGCACCTCCACCAGTTTATCCGGAGCGTAAAATGAGCACGCCAGCTGTGGCGCCACCGCCACCTGTCTACTTCCCCCGCAAAAAGCCTGCGAATTTGGAGGAGGCCATCAACGAACTGGAGGCCATTTACAAATCCCTGGGCCTAACAGAACCAGCTGAATTCAAGCCGGAACCCAAGCTGGATATGGTCTCCAAGATGCGAGTTCCCACGCCCAGTGACTTTGAGAAGTTCGCCTTGGCGCATGCTGATGACTACGAGGATGAAGATTCGCCAACCGGAGAACCTGATCCAGTCAGAGATGACGTGGCCTTCAGGAACCTACAGTTGGCCAATCTCCAACATCGTTCCTCGGAGAAGCAGCCACCATTTGGCATCCCAGTGGGACCCATAGTGCCTGCTCCGCAGTCCGATTATCTTCATGTGGAGCCAGTGAGGGTGAAGAAGAAGACTGGCTCTCCTGACATCATTAAAGATGATCTGGCTGTGCGTTCCTTGAGAAAAGATCCACCTGGTCCCAAATCCAGCTTCGTCTATCCCATGCAGAAGAAGCAGAGGGCCATAAGAACCCAATCAGCGAACATCTACAACCTGATCCAGAGAGATGCGGCGAAACCTTCTGGCGGGGATCTCAATAGCTACATTGAGCTGTCCCGCAACCTGGAGAGAGCTGGCAGCATGTCCAATCTGCAGGGTGACGGTGGCAGTGATACCAAAGATGTGCCCGCCACACTGGATCTCCTCCGTAAGCTGAAAGCCCAGGATGAGGAGCTGGATTTGGCTAGGAAGCATCATCCCATCCCCTTCAGGCATCCAAGCCAGGGAGGAGCTATTTCCCAACTACCAGAGCGACTGACCAAAGAGGATGCACCCAGAACAGCGCCTGTGCCTGCTCCGCGAAAGAGCTTGTCCCCGGAGCCCATGATGGATGATGCTCTCAACAAGATTGCCCAGGATGCGCAGGCCAGCAGCATTAAACTGAGTCAGGAACTCCATGAACTCCGCAAGGAGGCTTTGATCACAGCTGCCAGGCCCAAGTTGAATGCAGAACAACAGAGATTGGAGGATGAACTGCAGCAGATTGAAGCTGTCTCCGAGGCAGCCAAGCGATGTGGCCAAATGCTGCTGGAAACTCTGCCAGATGCCGGACAAGAGGATCAGGAGGCTCAGGATAAGCCTCTAAGGAAGCTACACAAAGAGGGCAAACTTATCCGGGCTATCGACGAGGTCTCTGAGGCGGCAAATGCAGTCTGCGAGAAGATCCTCAAAGACATAGTGACCACGGAGCCACCGGTGGTTGTACAAGAAGCTCTGCAGGTCAAGCAGACCACAATGACAGGAGCCGGAGGCGAGCAACTGGTGATGCCGCACCTCATCAAGAAACTGGATCCCATACAATCCGACAAGATCGAGCACATAGCCAGGCGTTGCATGAGGCAGCTCAGCGAACTGGCCAACAATCCGGATTATGACAACCTGGCCAACTGTAATATGAGCAACAGCACCACCAATGCAACGGGCGGTGCAGCCGCTGATGCCACTCTCGTTTGTCCCGTTCCAGAGAATCACGCGAAGAGCCAGACGCTCGAGGAGATTGACAAGATCATGCAGGAGTGCGAGCGTCAGGCGAAGAGCAGCAGCTCAACCAACACCACCACCGATGACCAGCGTACCACAGCCCCCAGTCTGACGAGTGGGAGTGGCAGCGGCAGCGGGAGCTTCCCACCCAATGTGAGCACCACCGCCAGTTCGTTCAGTTCGAGCAGCGACTGTTTGGCCAAGTCGTCGAGTCCATCGCGCGCCAGCCGTCCGCTCTCCTCGAGCATCACCTCCTTCAATCCGTACTCCTCCAGCGACTACATCAAGTCGCAGAGCAGCGATTGCCATGCACCCAGCACCGATCCGATCAAGACCTTTAGCACCACCTCGTACGAGGGGCAGTCCACACCGCAGAGCACTACCATTAGCACCAACACGATGAGCACGAGTCAGAGCAATACGATCAGTAGCACCACTAATCCGAGTACGGAGTCCAAGCCAACCGATTCCTCGGGCTCGCCACCACCGCTTCAGTTGACCCCAGTGGGTGAGCGGAGGGGCAGGAACCGGGAGAGAGGAGCCTCCTGCTCCTCCACATCCTCACCATCGCAGTACAACTCCAGCGAGGAGCTGGCCGCCATTTTTGGCATCGAGGAGCAACCGAAACAGCAGCATCGCAGCCGGCTGACGCATAATGCCACAGGTAACGGAGACGATCCCGCCACCGCTGAGGCCCCGAGTTCGCCTGATTCCGAATCCGCCAACGCCAATGCCACTGCCAATGCAAATACCAATACTACTAATCCCGCCCAGCTCGATCCAGCTAATAGCGCTACTAATCCCGTTTTGAATGTTCAACTTGATGTTACTACTAGCACCTCCACCTCAGCCTCAACCACCCATCCAACCTCTAACGATAATGCTAGCACTTGTAGTAGCCATAGTTATAAGCTAGAGACGATTCCGGAGCAGGATCACGAGGAGGTGGAGTCCACGCTGAAGCTGTCGCCCAACTTTAATCGGATCTATGCCAGCAAAATTCGCATTGTCATGGATCGTGACGAGGAAGAAAGTCTCCTGCCAGAAGGAGGAGCGAATGGTTCTCTCACTCAATTCGATTCTTTGAGTTCTCTGGAGGAGACCTCCTCCAATCCGGACTCCGGGAATGTAAGCCTCACGGATTTTCCTCTAGCTAACCATGCGAACGCCTCATTGGAACTGCAGACCACCTACAATACCCGCTTTCAAGTCAGGGAGCATTACGTGTCGGAGGTTTCTATTAGTGCCTCAGAGTCCACGGATGAGGAGCAGACGGATACCGAATGCTTAGGAGCTAGTGATCGTTTGGGGGCAGAAGACTTTCCGCCTTTACCCACGGAAGAAGAGTTAGAAGAGAGCCTACGGGAAGAAATAGAACTTAACGCGGTCAGGGAGAGTAGTGAAGAAACGAAGCCAACAATTGGAGAAGATAGTTTAGTGACAGAAGAATTGGTATCTGTAGTTGAAGAATTGAAACTTAACGAGACTATTAGCCTGAGCCAAGAGGTGTACGATCTCACCACTGAGACTCTGCAAAGAATTACGCCAGATGAGGTAGATGGGTTAAGTTTTGCCATTATCGAAGTTAACGAAAGCTTGCTTAACGAATCTGCATTTGACGAATTGGAATTCAAACTAGACGAAACAGAAACTGAACTGGACGAATCGGAAGTAATTGGACGAATGCTTGAGGCTTCTTTTGACGAGTTAGACGAATTAGAACTTGAAGAGTCAAAACTGGACGAAAGTCAGCTTGAGGAAGAAAATCCTAACGAAAGTCAGTTTAACGATACATCTTACAACGAACTAGATAGCATAGATCTGGACGCCACAGAACTTAACGCCACTGGTCTTAACGAAACCTCTTACGATCAGTTGGAGGAGTTAGAACTCGACGAAAGCGACTCGGTGATGCCGTTCACACGCCGCAAGAGCACCGTCTACGAGACGCCCCAACTCAACCTGAGCATTTCCGAGCTGAAAGTGAATTACGAGACGGAAGTGGGGCAAGAACCACTCGGCGAAGCCATCAAATCGATTGACAATGATGAGCATACTGAGAAGGAGAAAGAAGGCAGTGAGGCAAAGGCAGCTGGAGCTGGAAAGGAAGGCAGTGTAACCGAGAGCCAGACACATCGTCGCAAAGGACTTCCGGCGAATCCCGCTCATCAAAATGCTGCTAATGATGATGAACGACCGACTACCAGCTGCAAGGCTCTTTCCGTTTTTGGCGAGGTGCGAAATGTGGCACCACTGGGGCCGCCTGCGGTGGCAGCTGCAGCCGGAGCGGTTGGTGGTGGTGCAACGCGGGGCGCTTGGACAACACTCGAGCACGTATTTGTCGCCTGCACCGTGGGCCTGATTACACCGAACGATTTGCTCACTTTGTGCCTGATCGTGATTGGTGTGATTATCATTATTGCAATTGCACTCACCTGAGTGCCCCGTTTATGGCCTGATTGTTGTTGCTGTTATATTGTTTGTTGTAATTATGGAGAAAACTGAAGAGAAAGAAAATTATGATTATGATTTTGAGTTATGAGTTATGATGAGCCACAAAGTGCACTTCAGATTTCCACTTACAGTAATTAGTGATAGGATGAGAAGATTACATGTACATTTACTTATAATTTAGCTTTTATTTCCAAGAACCAAAAGTATTCTCAACCTCTATGCTAAGTGCAATTTATGTTATACGACCTATACCTATTTTTTTGGACCCCACTGTGCAATTGCAAAACGAAAATTCCAAATACCATTCATCGATGCTATCCTAACATTGAGTTCTTTAACACAGTTGACTCGTTTTCCTTCTTAATTAATTGTTAATTTGACTGCAACTTGTGCCAATGATTTTATACGTTAATTATGCTCTTAATTAATTAATCAATTAAATACTTAATCCACATTATGTACCCCCTCAAATAATTTGTAAGCACTTAAACGAGATAAATTCGACAAAAAATGATTTACCAACGAACTTAAGATATCTACATACTAATGATAAAATATTTTCTAAAATCTCTTTGTATATTTTCAGCTCAAAATTTAATAGTTTAAGTTTGACAGCGAACCCTTTTCTTACGTAGCATTCATTATTTCGCTATTATTTAAATGTTTATATAATTTAGCAGGCAAATGGAAGCAGAAGCCATGAAGCGAATAAATCTTATATTATTAATAAAATGTTATATGAAAAATTATCGACGTTTTTTTTACAAGTTATTGTTTTAGTTTCCCCTTCTGCGTTGTGGATGCTTTTAATTTATCAATATTTGTGCGTAGTTTGGCTTTTGTATACCCTTTTTACCATCTAATTTTCCATTTTTGACTAACATTTTTGGTAATAAAAAATCAAAATTCGTAACAAAATGAGAATTTATCATTTAAATGTTGTTGTTGCTGCCGCCTTAAATATTTTGGAAAATTGCTATATATTTATAAGAGCTATCTAATTTATTTTACAGCCTTTATAAACTAATATTATATATTTAAAAGAATTTTAAACTATTTTAAAGGAAAGCTGTTGACTTGTGGTGTGTGTCTCTGCTAAGCCACTTTGCATGCTGCTAAAGCTTTTTCAAGAAATAGATGGCGCTTCAATAATAATGTAGATTGACGTGTAAAATGATTGTAAAGAAGTGTATTTACCTGGAAATATTGGGTTTTTGAGTTTTAAAATTTGTATTCTATTTTTATTAGATAAAGAAAAGAAAATATGATTCCGAATTTATGTAATAATAGGAATGCAGAATAGAGAAAGGTTTCCTAAACATTAAAACAAATATTAAGAAGATCAAATCCTAGAAAAACCTTATTTAGTTGACTATTTCTGGATCTTAATACTTTCAAAGGCATAGCCTAAGTTCTTTCTGAAAACTTTTAATGAACAAAGCAAACAAAAATTCCTGAAATTCAAATAGCAACCCAGAAAACTCAGACCAGACAGAGTTAAATAAAAGTTTGTAGTGGGACAGGTAGAAAGCGGAGAACTTACCTAACTCAAACTTATAAAAACAAATGAAAAAGTTGAAATTTTTGGTAAAGAAAAAACACTCCGCATGGGATTCTGTTTACAATTCGTCTGTCTCGTGGGGTCACAGACTGGCGGGCCTTAACCCCGTCAATGTGCAACCCCCTCAAGGTATTTATTTTCCTTTCGAAATAGAAAAAAGTAGGAGCTTAAAGCTAAAAGTCTTTGAACGGCAATAAGAACAGCAAAAAGGGAAAGTCGTGGCCTCATAATGAAACCAATTCAAGGAGCTGCTCAAACTTTTCTTGCGGCTGGCTCCTCCTTCGGGTCCTGATGTTGTGGCATAAAAAGGACATTCAACTGCAGGACCTCAGCTAGCTTCGGTATTCTGATTGTTCAATGCGGCTTGTGCTTGTCTCTTGTTCATAATTATGTTTGGTCTTTTTTGCGTAATGAGGTATACGATTTCAACGGGTAATTTAAGCTAGGTGGAGACCAAGGGAAATATGCCCCCTCCCCAAGGAAAAGACGTTTTTCCTTCTAAATCTCTGCTTTCGATTTGCCTGTCTTTGTTGGACTTGGGCCAGGATTTATGTCGTCAATCTCCCTCTGTGGATTCTTTGTGTAATTGAAAATCGCCCAACGGAAGTGTTTACCCTCGACTTTAAGCAACCAAAAACAACAATTGGCTTCCTAAGCTAAGAAAAATAATTTTCCACAAAGAGTTCATTTACCTCTGAAGTCGAGCAATGCTCTCGTTACACACACAATCACTGGCACACCAGGCTAAATAGCAATAAAAATGTCACCCGGCTCTAATTTGTTTTTTGTCTACGCCGGGACTCGCTTGGCAGCCCAAAGCCTCAGCCCAGCACCAGCTCCAAGGACCTCAAAATGTTGGTTAAGTCAAGGCAAGAAGGAGAAGAGCCGAGGAGAGTCATAAATAAAGCAACCACATGGGTGTCCTGGAGTTCCTTTTCTGCATGCTCGCCTCCTTCTATCACTGAAATAATCATAACTCACTTAACCCCATAAAATGTGACTGGGTGGCCCAGCGGGCGTATGAGCGATATTCACTTGAATGAAATACACCTCCTGCCACTCCCCCTCCTGAATGGGCGTGTCTAAGTAGGCGTCGGCAAGTGAGGCGGCAAACGCTTCATTGACAACCTTTTGTGCGGCCTCACTGTGCTTGATAATTACTATCAGCCAAGACAGGCGTTCCCCTTTTCAGCGTTACTCATACGCAGCGTGTTACACCACAAAATTCGTAATCATGTGTGTAGAAGTACAGGGAAAACAAATACTGTTGGTAATGTTATGACTTCTCTATGCAGATAATAACAATATTATAACCATATTTATTCTACAAAAGACAAAGGAACTTGAAGGGAACTTAAGAAGGGAAAGAAACTTCTAACAGAGCATAGCTAATGATTAATAGATATAAGGCTATGGGAATACCCATTGATAACCAACTTAAGTGACTAATTTCCCACAGTGTTTGAACATTTTGTGGTCTCGATTGCCAGTCGACTCGAGGCATGCGGTCAAGTGTGGGTTGCGTTTGTTTTGTCGCTACTGTTGCGCAGATTGTTGTGGTTGCATTTCGGGGCTCCCCCTTTGGTTGCCATTCCACCCCCTTTGCTCCTTCAATCTGATCAAATGGGGGCACGCCACAAATTTTACAG